CGTGCGCGCGCATGCAGGGCCTTGGGTACATTTGGTTTACTAACAAAAGGCTCTTCTTCTTTTTTTTTTTCCCCTAAAACAAAGAAATATCCACCCCTCCAAAAAAACCACCCCAAAACCAAGAACAAAAAAAGGACATGAAATGGAGGAAGTGGGGTGCAAATCTGGGCTGAGGACTGGGCAGGAGGCAGGGCCTGTGGTCAGGGTGCTTCCCCGGGCCCCGCTGGCTCACTGGCCGGCGTCGGCTGATGTGTGTGTGCAGTTGGCGCTGAGAACACGGTGCTAGGTGAGGCTGGGGGCTCAGAGGAGTGGGCAGAGCTTCCCCCACCTGAGCCAGCAGCCCCAGAGAGGGGATCCCTGCGACACTTAAGGGTCTCGGAGTGCGGCCTCTTTTTCCTCTCCTACGCTCTTCCCTCCACCGCCTCTGTGTAAGCTGCGGCCCTCCCTGGGAAGCGCTTGCTCCTGGACTCCTGACCCCACCAGCTTCAAGGCCCAGCGGGCTCCCACGGCAGCTCTTCTGAGCCTCTTTTGGGACAAATGTCACATCCTTTTATGGTAGCTCTTTACCTGGTCTCTAACAAGCCACCAGGTGAGCATGGTGACCCACCTATGTCCCCTGTCCAGTGACCCAGCACCACCCAGGGGCTCATCAGAGCTGTGCATTGGAGGTCCACCCCCTGAGAACCAGGCCCAGATTCTGAAACAGAAACCTGGTGGGGCTTGGCACGCGTTGCTCAGGGACGTGACGTGTGACTCTGGAGCCTGGCACAAGACCTGTGACTAGGACCCGGTGGGATTCAATAACTGTCAAGACCACACCCATTTACGTTTGGTTCCACCCCACGAGCACCCATGTCTCCACCCCACCTTATAGATGGGGAGACCCAGGCTTAGAGAGGTGAGCTGCACACACAGGGTCACGACACCCGTGATGGTGAAGAGGGGCTTGGACCCTGCTGGGCAGTTCTGCCCCTGAGAGTTGACATCAGAATGACGTTAGCCGAAGCCTTGGTCAAGGGCTGTCAGTTTCCCGGGACAGTGACATGTTCTCCTAACTCAGCTGGCCAGAGAGGCCCTGGGTGCCAGGAAGGCAAGGACGGGAAAGCAGCACCCACCAGAGACCCAGCAGGGCAGCACGTGAGGTGCCCCAAGGTCACTGCTGAGGAGTGACGTCGTGGTCACTGCTGCTGGCTCTGGGGGAGCTGCTCCTCTCTGTGCTTGGACTAAGTGAACAGGCGAGTGGTTGGTCATCGGAGGTCATGACTGTCGTCCTAGGTTCCAGGAGGGCAGAGCGGGATGGAAAGGGGCACTTGGGAGACCCGGGGCAGCTCCCCAGTCCACCTCGCTCAGTGACCGCGCGTGAGTGGAGCCATAGCTCGCGTGAGGCTGGTTGCCAGGTGGCTGCTGTCTCTTTCCTAGGCCACGGGAACTTCCCTTACCTCTGCGGGAACCTGAGCGACGTGGTGGTCAGCCCCCTGTTGTACACCTGCTACCAGAATTCCCAGTCCATCTCCAGGGCGTACGAACAGTGCGGAGCCTCCAGCATCCAGCCCATCTCGGAGGAGATGCAGCTTCTGCTCACTGTCTACTACCTCGTCCAGCTGGGTGAGCGCCCTCTGCCATCGACTCACCACTCAGGGGCGACTGCTAGGGGGGAGCTGCAGGTCTCAGCCATTCACCTGCTGTTCTAGGCACAGAGGCAGCAGGAGATAAGACACGCAGCCCTAGGGGTGTTCCCATCTAGTGGGAGAGAGAAGGAAGCAGTGGGAATCGGGGAAGGCAGGCGTGTGTGTCCTGGGGCAATTCAGAATCACCAAGAAGGGCCTGAGGGTAGACCTGGACCCCGAGAAGGAGCCTCCTGTGAAGAGCGGTGGAGGGAGCACAGGTGGGGGCCGTGGTAGGAGGAGGACAGGGGAGGACCATAGGCCAGTGGGAGCACAGGTGAGGGCTATGGGAAGAGGAGGACAGGTGAGGGTCATGGGAGGAGGAGGACAGGTGAGGGCCATAGGTGGGGGGAGCACAGGTGCGGGCCATGGGAGGAGGAGGACAGGTAAAGGTCATGGGAGGAGGGAGCACAGGTGCCGGCTGTGGAGGAGGAGGACAGGTGAGGATCATGAGAGGAGGAGGACAGGTGAGGGTCATGGGAGGAGGAGCACAGGTGAGGGTCATGGGAGGAGGAGGACAGGTGGGGGTCATAGGTGGGGGGCAGCATAGGTGAGGGCCATGGTAGGCAGGAGCACAGGTGAGGGTCATGAGAGGAGGAGGACAGGTGTGGTTCTAGGCAGGAGGCAGGCTTCACACCCTCCTGTGTTCTCAGCTGTTGTAGCCACTAATCACAGTGACAGCCTCAGTTGTGTTATTCTAAGATGTCCCACACTGGTGTCAGGCTGTCCGTGCCCTACACCTCGCACACCCACTGATGTCCTCCACCTCTTTCCTCAGCGGCAGACCAGGTGCCTTTAATGGAGGACTTGGAGCAGATCTTCCTCCGCTCCTGGCGTGAGTCACACCTGACTGAGATCCGGCAGTACCAGCAGGTGCCTTCCCAGCCCTACCCACCTGCGCCAAGCACCGCAACACCAGTGACCTCTGCGCAGCTGCCCTGGTTGGCTGGCCTGGCCGCCAGCTCCTGCAACGACAGCGTGCACGTCATTGAGTGCGCCTACTCCCTGGCCGAGGGCCTCTCCGAGATGTTCCGCCTGCTCATTGAGGGCAAACTCGCCAAGACCAACTACGTGGTCATCATCTGTGCCTGCCGGAATGCGGCCATCGACTCCTGTATTGCTGTCACTGGTGAGCTGGCCACCTCTTGGCTGGTGGGAAAACCAGCCACCTTGATTTCCCAGGCCCTGTCCTTGGTGGGTCCTTCCCTTTTGCCTTGGGGACCCTGCAGTCTGCCAGGTATCATTTTGGAAGGCAGTCTCGTGCCCCGGCTCAAGGCCCAGAAGATGGGCTTCGCTAAAATTCCATTCCTGCTCTAGATGGTGGTTAGCAGGTCCTGTTTCTTCCCTGGAGAGATTAGGGCCAACTTTGGGGTCCAAATAGATCTGGTTGCAAATCTGGTTCCACTAAGTGCCCAGCACTCTGGCTGACCACTCACACCAAGATTCTGGTCCTGAGTGTCTTCATCAATTGGGGATAAGAACAATGGCCTTTGAGTATTTCTGGGGGTTAATGAGCCAACTTGCTAACTAAGTATAAAAATACTCTCTGAAAACCTGCTGTGCATGGCTATCACTCCAGGGGCTGGGGACCCAAGAGCCCTCCTGGAGTAAGGTCCTGGTTGGGAACCTGACACCAAATTCAGGAACCTTTGGTTCCTAGGTTCCTAGATGTCGAGTATTTTCAACCCGAATTTTTGTATCTCTATATGCCTAAAAAATGCACGTTGTTCCTATGTAGTGTGTCTCAGTTGCCGTTAACATTCTTTGATCCTAAACTCATTTTTTACTAATTCTTCACCTGGATTTAAGCAGCCATTCAGTAATAAACCTGGAGCCTCTGTGTGTGTCCACCACCCTTTTCTTGTGTCACCTGGCGGCAAGCCTGTGAGACTGAGGCTGCTGTCAGTCACCTGGTACAGATGAGGTCTATGGGTCTAGAAGGGTAGGTGACCAGTCCAAGGTGATGCAGCTGGATGAAGGAGATGGTGGCATTCCAGAGTTTTCTCTAAGCGACCTCAGCCTTTTGGGTCCCTCCTATTATCCCGGTACACTGGGACAGGGTGGTGTATGCCATCCATTCATTTAACCTACAGGAGCACCTGCTTTTTGCCAGGTGTGGTGCTGGACTTGGGGTGGGGGAGAGACACCAAGGCAGGACCCTCTCCTTAAAGGTTCCAAACAGAGGCAGTAGAAGCTGCGGTTTGTTTTCCAGGAAAATACCAAGCCCGGATTCTTTCTGAGAGCCTCCTCAGCCCAGCGGAGTACCAGAGGGAAGTCCACTACGAGCTGGTGACGGGGAAGGTGGACTCCTTGGGGGCCTTTTTTAGCACCCTCTGCCCAGGTAGGCTTGAGAGGCTGGTGCAGAAGGTTTCATTGAAGAGTCAGGAGTAAATGTGGAGGGGGGGTGATGTGTGCCCGCGTCGTCCCTGTGGCCTCCCAAGGCTGAGCACGGTGCGCTGTGGTCCCCGTCTGTGCACTGGTGCTGACCTTCCTTTCCTTTGCCCACTGGGGCTATGGTTTCTGGCTCTTTCTTCCTGCTGGGGCTGTAGGGTTCTCCAGGGGCTGGGAAAGTGCTTACTGTCTTAGTGCTCCTTCCCCCCACCTCGGCCACTCCAAGTCCCAAACTGCCCGAGGCCTCTCCCTGGAAAGCTCTTCCTGTGTGTCTGGTGCTGCTAGCACCTGCCCCCCCACCCCGCCTGGTTCCCCTGTCCCTCTAGGGAGCTTCACACCCTCCCCTCTTCAGGGGGGCCTTGGGACCCTGCCTCTCTAACCTTTAGGGCTCCCTCTCACTCTGCCTGCACCTGCCTTGTCATGGCACAGTGGACATGGTGAGCATACCTGTGTCCTCAATGGGCTGTGGACTCCTTGATAGGACGGCCATGTCTCTGTTCCCATTACCTGGGCCTCAGGAAGGCACCAGGCATACGGCAGCTGGTCCCGGGGTGCTTCCTGAGATCCACGAGAGGGGAGGCCCACTTCTGTTTGTTCTGTCTCCGGCAGAGGGGGACATGGACATTCTACTGGACAAATTCCATCAGGAAAATCAAGGCCATGTTTCTTCCTCGCTCCCTGCCTCCTCTGTCACTCAAGCAGCAGCCCTGGACGTCAGTGGGACACCTGTGTGCACAAGTGAGTGATGGGGGGGCACAGGTGACACAGTGAGTCATGGGGAGAGGACAGGTGACACAGTGAGTGATGGGGGAGGGGATGGGGAGGCACAGGTGACACATTGAGTGATGGGGAGGGGACAGGTGACACAGTGAGTGAT